TTCCAGGGAGGAATGATATACTATAGTCACAGGCCTGTTTTCACATACTTATAACTAATTTAAATGACCACAGAATATGGCCATTCTGAAATGTTTCATAAGTACTTTTTGTAATTAATGGATAATGCCTTATACCACAATTATAACTTAAAAAAATTTCAAATCTTGATGTCCATTGTTTCCATAAAGTTTCAAACTATTTATAGATAAAACTTAAATAAAACCCTTTAATATGAAATTCATCTGTTGTGATAAGTCATGTTCAACATAAAATTTGAAATATTATATTTTTGGCTTTAGGAAAATTGATATTAAGACTGGTATCTGTAATAAAAATAATTTGAAAGCTTAACAGCTCAAACATTTGGACATTTGATTATCATAATAACTTTATTACAAGTCATAAATCAACACAAGAGCGTATCTGGACATACATGGGAAAAGTAGATACTAACCACTTAATGCAAAGAATGTGAATATTAAAATTTTATTTTAATCTATTTATATAATATGTACAACAGTGATATTATGAATGAAGATCTTGTATTAATTTTAGGGGCTAAAGTAAATCACTAGGGACAAACAGTATCCTTTAAATTTTTTTTTTTTATTATACATGACAGTAGAGTGCACTTATATACTTTGATATATCATACATAGATGGGATATAATTTCTCATTTTTCTGAGTATACATATTGTAGACTCATATTGGTCATACAGTCATATATATACACATAATGTAATGATATCTGTTTCATTCTACTATTTTTCTTATCCCCACATCTTCTGCCTTCCCCTCCTTTCATTTCCCTCTACCTAATCTAAGGTAACACTATTTTTTTTTTTGCCTTTATACGTGTGCTTTTTTTTTTTGCATTACAATTCTTAATACACATATATACCACAATTTTTGTATCTGCTTGTATATAAAGTATCTTGACACCTAATTCGTGTCTTCATACATGTACTTTGCATAATGATGTCCATCACATTCCACCATCCTTGTTAATTCCCTGCCCCCTCTCTTGTCCTCCCACTCCTCTTCCCTATCTAGAATTCATCTATTCCTCCCATCTTTCTGGACAGCCATAAACATTGTTTTTCCTCTGAGACATTTTAGAGACCTCTAAAAGGCCTTTTTATGTGAAGCCAATTTGTTATGCATAAGCTATATACAGGAGATTTTGCTCACAATTCTGAATCCTTAAAAAACAATGTAAAAGCTACAAGTAAGGTCTAAAAGTAGAAATTTTAGTCCCAAGATAGATCCTTGGTCACACTCCTCTTCATTTGGGAAGATATGTCATTTATTCTACTCAATATTTATAAGAGTCTATTCTATTTTCTTATGTTTCCAGTGAGAAAAATATTGTTGGATATAAGAATAATTTTTGAGATTATTTTTCCATACCTAATCTAAATTTCTCTTTTCCTAAGGAAGGTCAAAATCTTGGTTTAGCTGTTTGAGTAAATGGCGAACTATGAGCTCTTTATAGACTTTATTATAGATACATTAGTCATCTGTTATTCTTAGTGGGTATATTCCCAGCCCCATAGTGAATTATTGAAACCCTAGGTAGTACCAAACTCTATAATGTCTTTTCTATTTTAACTAAGCATATATTATGAAACGTGGCCATTACTTTTGCAATTTGTAGTACATCAGAGACACTAGTATGAATTTCTTTTTCCTTCTTAATTTCATGGGTAGGAGATTTGTTTTACAGTACATCTTAACAAACTCAGTATGTAGATTTTTGTTTTTTCTTATGAAAACAAGAACTTCCACCTCTTCACCAAAAGGAAGCACTTTACAGCTTCTCCTTGCTGTATTCAAATTGCCTGCATCACTACTCTTGTGTGTTGAGGCCATTATTAAGTAATACAAAGGATTTTTGATCATAAGCACAGCAATACTAAGTAAATATAATGGGCAGGTGGTTTATATAGTGTGGATACACTGGACAAAAGGATGATTACTTCCTGGTTAAAAGGGAACAAGATGGCATGAGATTGTATCATGCTATTCAGAAGAGCAGACAGTTTGAAAATTATAAAGTGTTTATTTCTGAAAATTTCCATTTAATATTTTCAGACCACAGTTGACTGTCTAGGTAACTGAAACTGGGGGAAATAGGGGGCTATTCTATTGTACTACATTATGTGTATCTTTGCCCCATTATAGTACTTCTTAATAGATCTTGTTGCTTTCTAAATTTCTCCAAACTACTACTGAAAGTTTGAATTTATAGGATATGACTTGAACACAAAAAGAGACATAATTAAAATGGAACCTTGAAAAAGAGAAGATGTAAAAAAAAAAAATTCTCATTAATTGAGGGGTTTTATTTGGAATATTTACTAATTCTTTCAACTTAAAAATGTTAAAGGATCCAGCAACTCTACTAAAATGAAGTTCAGTCGTTTCATTACACTTTTACATTAGTGGTTTCTTTGCTTGTTAGATGTTTTATGCTCAACTTTCACATAGCCAGACTCCATTTGTAATATAACAGTATTGCTACTTACCACATACTGAATGCCTTTTATGTATCTAGCAGTTTGTTTGATGTTTTACTGGTATTATGTGAAATTCTTAAAATATTGTAGGGTTGATGTTATTTCAACCCATTTGAGAGAGGTGAAAGCTTAAGCCAGTGATTTTTATTGGTAAATGTTTAATAACTGGTTCTTTCTGTAAAAATGTCCTAATTTCTAGCTTTTGTTGATTTCTGTGGTGTGAATACTCCCATAATGGCAGATTTCAAGCTATCAGTATGAAATTTGTGAAGTGGACTCTTTAGGAGATTGGCACAGTGGGCCATCCAGCCAGTGTGAGCTGGTTCTGACACACCACTGGCTGAGGCACATAAAAGCAATGTAACTTTTCTTTGATAAAGCCAGAATTCATACTCAGATCAGTCTAATTCTAAAGACTGTGCCCTTTCTACAGTGTTCATTTTCTTTATTAGGTGTTAAAAAAAAAGTTACACTTCTTTAACTTGGACAGAAAGAGCTAGAAGAGAAGGAAATGAGGACACAGAATGAGGGAAGTTGGGGAAGGAGGAAGAAAGAAACTTTAAGGTTGAAATTGAGACCAGCTGATTCAGCCACGTTGGAGATGAGGTAAGGAAAACAAAAAGTATTATTAAAATGGTAACTCAGGTTTTGTCAAAAAGGGTGGCACTCTGTGTTTTTGTCACTCTCAAGAAGACACCCAGCATGTAGAAATGATAACAGCTACCACATCGTAGGGGGAATTGTATTCAGACAAGTGTCCTGCAACTGTTTATCTGTTTTTCCCACCCTTACTCAACACAACTAATGACCACATCACTGCACACAAACAGTCCAACAAAGTTACTAGTGTAGGTAATAGCAATCTCTTATTCACATGACAGAATAACTACAATTTTCTGGGGTTAAAAAAAAAGCTAAATATACTATGTACAATCAGTGTTTATAAAATTGTTGCTATAAATAAGGGGAGAGAGCTTCAGAACATATTTAGAGTAAGTGGTCAGTTCCTGGAATTTTTCAGTTTGATTATGAAATATTAATCTGGGTGCCGTAATCTGAAGTAAAATGCAAGTATTATATGTATTTTTGAGACATATAGGGTGCCACATTAAATATTTTCCATAAATTTATAATCATTCTTATAAAAGTCACTGTTATAGTCAGCTTTCTCATTGCTCTGACTAAAGGACCCAACCAGAACAATTGTAGAGGAGAAGTCTGAGGTCTCACAGGGTTTCAGAGGTCTTAGCTGGGGCTTCAAGTGGTGGAAAAGTGTGGCAGAGGGAAATGGCTCACATGATGATCCGGAAGCTGAGAGACTTCATTCATCAGATACAAATATATACCCCAGAGCCATGCCCTCAGTGTCCCACCTCTTCCAGCCACACCCCACCTGCCTCCAGTTACCACTCAGTTAATCCCATTAGGTTAAGGCTATAGCCCAATCATTTCTCCTCCAGACCTTCTTTCATTGTCTCACGTATGAGCTTTTGGGGGAATACCACATCTAAACCATAACAGCCGTGTATTTTACTGAAATGTTTTGAGTTATCTTAATGGTATTTATCTTTTAATGTCTGTAAAGTCAAAGTTGAATCAGGTAGAAGGAACATATAAGAAATAGATACATGTTCCTTTTACATCACTGGATTTAGTGACAATGCTGTTCATAATATTATCCTTTTAGTATCTATAAAATTTGTAGTAACATCACCATTTATGATACTGCTAATTTGTAGCTTCTCTCATTTTTTTTTCTTGATGCATCTGGCTAGAGGTTTTTCAATTTTATTTATCTTTTCAAAGAACCAGAATTTTGTGTTTCTAATACTTTTATTACTCTTATAATAAGTAGTTAATAATAGAATAGTTCAAAATTTATAGGAAAATTATCAAGATACAGTATAGAGAGTTTCCATCCACTCCTTGGAAGGCATTCATTATGCTAAGTAGTGAGAAGATATGTTCCACTTCCTTCATGGTAGAATAGATGCACAGATTATTTGAAATTGTACTGCACAAGAGATTTGTATATCCCATCCCAGTCCTGTGTGTTTGTGTTATTTATTTATCACTATGTATTCGTGAATATTTATCTTATACTTTGATTTATTACCCAACAGTACTTTATATATTTTGTTATACTCACATTGTCCTATCTTTGACCAATAGGAGTGAGGGGAAAAGGTTCTATCCTAAGATAGAAGTTCTTTCAGTTGTATCTTTGTTCCTTAGACATACTCTGTCATTGTGCTTTTGTTTGAACGTGTCCTTTCTAGTGCTAAAAGATCTTCTGGGCCCATCTTTTTTATTTTTAGTTTAGCTGATATATAAAAATATAAAAATCATATCTATTAATGGGGTACCATGCCATATTTCAGTACATATTTACATGCATAATGTTAGTCAGGTTAAGCATTGTATCTCCTCGTACATTTATCATTTGTATATGGTAAAAGGTTTCAGGATCCTTTCTTCTAAAAAATACAGATGTTTTAGGAATTTTTTTGTCATCCTATGTAGAGGCCATGCCAATGTTCTCTGTATTTTTCTGATTTTAGTGTATGTGCTGCCAACATCAGCACTACCGACCCATCTTATGTATTTCCATCTTATATATTTCTTGCCCCAGTTCTAGAATCAGCATTTTCTCTAAAGAGCTCTGGTTCCTTATATTGGAGAATTGTATAAAATCAGAATGTGGGCAGTAGGCATGTTTGTTTATACTAGGGCATTGTTGCTTCTAGTCTCAAAGCTAATAGAACAAGGAAATAAATGTGTGTACACTGAGCTCTTTTATGTACACATATTAGTAAATATTTTTGTATGTAACCATCTGTTTCTGTATAAACTAAACATGAGTTTATATCAGTGTCTCCAACAGTAATCGGTTACCTCACATATCATTCTCCTGGCTTTCTTTGATAACTTCCACTTCAACAATGAGGAGCCTGATTCCCACCATCCAACACACATTTACTTAGTTTTTTTAATTTCATTATATGTAGTGGTTTTAGAATTGTTAATTCATATTCCTGTGGGAAATAACTCCATCACTAGAGTATGGAACTTTGCATATATAATTTACTTTTAGTCTTATAGACTGCATTCATTTCCAGGACTTCTTAGGATAGAACCTTTTCCCCTCACTGCTTTGAGTGAGACTATACCACACACTTCCATTGGAGATAGATTGTTTTGTCACATTCTGCCCCTGATCTGTTTACTTTCTCTAGTTTTGCTTTTTTCTAGAATCTAATTGCTATCATTTTGTGTGTGTGTGTGTGTGTGTGTATTCTTCTCAAACTGGCTTCTTTTATTTAGTATTATATACTTTAGATTTATGTCTTTGTTAGTTAATAGCTCATTCCTTTCTACTGCTGAATAGTATCCATTGACTCTTCCTCCACAGGCTCCTGAGGCACAGGGATTGCAGGCATGTACCAGCATGACTCACTCCAATTGGGGCTTTTTAAGGGGTATTTTTGTTGTCATTTTTCTCTTCAGGTACTGGGAATTGGACCCAGGGCCTCCTGCATGCTAAGCAAGGGTTCTACCACAGAGCTACTATTCCCTCTTCATCTCTCCTACCCCCGCCCCACCCCACCCCATAATGAATCATTTAAAAGGGCCTGCTTCAGAATCAAGGTCCCTCTTACTTCCTTTCCCTCCTAGTGCAGGAGAGACATTCTGTAAACTTCCCTTATCTACTCCAAATCTAGACCTGCCAAAGAAGAAACGCCTCCAAGCTCTCACCAACTCGGCTCCTACCTCAGGAGAAGACTGATATCTGCTAGCACACCTGGACAGACTGTCACAACTCTTCTCTATTTTGGCCCCAAAGAGAACCATTTACAAACCATCATCTGTTCTATGAGCCCAGTGGACTTTTGTCTCCCTGGCCCTTTTATATCCAAACCCAGTGAGTTCTAAAACAACATTTACTGCCAGGCATGTGGTACATGCCTGTAATCTTAGCAACTTGGGAGACTGAGGCAAGAGGATTGTGGGTTTGAGGCCAACCTCAGCAATTCAGGCCCTAGGCAATGTGGTGAGGCCCTGTCTCAATATTGGGAATGGAAAGGACTGGTCATGTGGCTCAGTGGTTGAGCACCTCTGGGTTCAATCCCTAGTATGTTTAAAAAAAAAAAAAAAAAAAAAAAAGTAAATGATAAAACAATCATGAATTATTAAAAAGGAAAAGTTATGAATAGGAGTCGGCCTAGTGGCCCAGGCCTGTAATCCCAGCTACGCAGTAGGCTGAGGCAGGAGGATTGGAAGGTCAAAGCCAGCCTCAGCAAATTAGCAAGACCTAAGCAATTAAGTGAGACCCTCTATGGAAATAATAAAAAGGGTTGGGGATATAGCTTAATGGTTAAGTGTCCTTGGATTCCATCCCCAGTACCAAAAATAAATAAACATATGAAGTTATGAATGGGTATTGGACTTTTTTCAGCTTTTTGCATACTATAATTTTCTTCATCTTCATATAGTGAATTACATTCATTAATTTCAAATGTTGAACCCATCTTGCATACCTTTTGGTTGTGATATGCAAAATTTATTTTAAATATTGTATTTGATTGAATATTATTTTGTTGATCTTTATGAGAGATGTTGCTCTAAAGTTTTTCTTTCTATCTGGTTTTGATATTAAGGTGATACTGGCTTCATAAAATATTTCTGCTTCTGTTATCTACTAATAAATATTATGGAGAATTGTTACTATTTTCTAAATATTTTGTAGAATTCACCATTGAAATTGTACCTGGTGCTCTTTTTTTTTTTGAAGATTATTGATTATTTATTCAATGCCTTTAAATAACATAGGGCTATTAAGTTTATCTATTTCCTTTTTGTGCAGACTTGGTACATTATGTCTTTCCAGGTTTTTTTTTTTTTTCATTTATCGATTTTTATGGGCAAAGAGTTGTTTGTAACATTCGTCTATTAGCTCTATATATCTATTTGATCAATAATGATGACTTTCAGACTGAGGTTACGGCTCAGTGGTAGACTGATTGCCTAGCATGCTTGAGGCACTGAGTTTGATCTTCAGCACCACATAAATGAAAAATAAAGATATTGTGACCACTTAAAAATAAAAAAAATATTTTTAAAAATGACTTTCTTCCCTCCTTTCTATCAATTTCTGTCTCTCATTTATTATATATATAAATCTGTCTTTATATAGATATATCTATCTATCTATCTATATAGGTCTATATATATCCATCATACATCCTCCTAATTTGATCTTTACATAGATATATCTCCCTTCTTATTTTGGTTATCCTGGATAGAGATTTATTTGTAGTTCCATTCAAAGAACCAGCTTCTGGCTTGGTTGATTTTTCTCTAGTTTTGTTTTCAGTTCCATGATTTCTACTCTTAATTACTATTATTTTTTGCTTCTGTTTATTTTTTGTTTTTGCTTTCTCAGGAAGTCTGTTGGCAATGAATTTACTTAGATTTTTTTAAAAAGTACTTTTTGTATATTTTTATTAGTGCATTACAGTTGTAGTTCAAAAAGTGTCTTTTTAACTTTTTAAGGATTTTTTTTTTACTAAGTATAGAATTTGATCCTTTGTGCATATTGAAAGTGTTGTTCTATCATCTTGAAGCTTGATTCAACAGTTATTCTATTACTTGTTCCCCTGTATGTGATGTTTACCCTCTTCTGTTTGTTTTTCTTAATTTTTTCTTCACAACTAGTTTTTAGCAGTTTACTTATTATGTGTCTTTGATTTCCTTTGTTTCATCTTGCTTGGGCTTTGTTGTTTTGTGAATATTTAGTTTATATTTCAAAACAATTCATCATTTCATTTTTAGTACATTCATCTACCCTCCCTCATTATTCTTTCCTTCCCAGATTGCTTATTAACCTTCCACAGACCACTGGTCTTTGTTTCAGTCCTTTTAACCCCCTCTCTGTTTTTCACTCGACATATTTTTAGTTGTTATATCTTCATGTTCTCCAACATTTCCTTTTGAGGTATGCAGTCTTCTGGTTCTGACTATGAAGTAAATTTTTTTATACTGTTTAGCCGGGTGTGGTGGCATACATGTATAATCCCAGAAGCTTGGGAGGCTGAGGAAGGAGGATCACGAGTTCAAAGCCAGCCTTAGCAATTTAGTGAGGGCCTAAGCAACTCAGCACGACCTAGCTTATAAATTAAAGAAAAAAGGGTTGGGGATGTGTGGCTCAGTAGTTAAGTGCCCCCTGGGTTCAATCCTGGTATAAAAAAAAATACTATATATTTCAGTTCTAGAAATTTCACTTCTTTTAAAAATATATTGCACTTCTTTGTTATTATCATATCTTCTTTTAAATCCTCACACATGCTTATAATAGCTATTTTATTGTCTTTGCTAATTACATTATGCCTATCATTTGTTACTGTACCTACTGAATGATTTTCTTTCTGGTTATGGTTTATATTTTCCTACTTATTTACATGGGTTGTAATTTTTTTTTTAAAAGGAGAGAGAGAGGGGTAATCTTCTCATGCTCTTCCTCCCTATCCCATTTTGAGTCACCCCCTTATATCAGAGAAGACATTCGGCATTTGTTTTTTAGGGATTGGCTAACTTCACTTAGCATTAAATAATTGATTTAACAGTTATTCTATTACTTGTTCCCCTGCATGTGATGTTTAAGAAGGGAAGAGAGATGGGAGGGAAAAGGAAGGAGAAGGGGAATTGCACGAAAGATGGAAGGAGACCCTCATCGTTATACAGAATACATGTATGATGTTATGAGGGGAAAAAAAAGTGTGTCACATTAGATTGGGTAGAGAGAAGTGAGGTGAGGGGAAGGGGGGATAGGAAGGGCAGCAGAATACAATAAACATCATTATTGCTGTATGTATATACGTGACTGTATGACCAATGTGATTTTGCAACCTGTACAATCAGAAAAATGAGAAATTATACCCCATTTGATTCAAATGTATGAATTGTCAAGATCATTGTACTGTCATGTGTAACTAATAAAAAAATAAAATAAAAAATAAAAGGAGAGAGAGAATGAATCTTTTTTGTAGATGGACACAACACAATGCCTTTATTTTTATGTGGTGTTGAGAATCGAACCCAGGTCCTGCCCGTGCTAAGTGAGCACTCTACCGCTCAGCCACAATCCCAGCCCGGGTTATAGTTTTTGATTGAATGATAGACATTGTTGATATTACAATGATGATGTTGGTATTTGTTATCTGTCTTTAATTATAATTGATGTTAGATTTCCTGAGAGTTTAAGTCTTGATTGAAGCTTTATTAAGAGTAGATCTGAAGTACTCTTCTTTTCTACATCTTCATGTTCAATTTTTCAATGCCTAATTTAGTCTTACTACTCACATGTAACCTTTTGGGGGATAGATGCTATTTTACTTAGCTTTTTCACTGCTGTGAATAAGGGATCTAACCGGCACAACTGTAGGGGAGGAAAAGTTTATTTGAGGTCTCATGGTTTCAGAGTTCTTAGTCCAGAGAAGGCTGGCTCCATTCCTTGGGGCTCAAGTGAGGCAGAACATCAAGGCAGAGTGTGTGGCAGAGGAAAGCAACTCACATGATGGTGGTCAAG